AAAAAAAAAAAAAAAAAAAAATTCTAATATATTTTTTTTTGTTGTTATAAGAACAATGCACAAAATGATCACCAGAAAGGAACCTTAACCCAGGAATATGTAATATAATTTACGTTCTTGTATCTCATTTATATATATTAAATTGTTTTTTCATTAAATGTAAAGGCACTTAGATATTTAAAAAATTAATTATGAAATTGCATAGCATAGTAAACTCATAGTTTATTCATCTGTTTTCATTAATATGATGGTGACTAATGTACAACATTGACTCTAACACACTCTGGACTTTAATAGTCCCCTCTGTGGATTTCATAATGTTATTGTTTTATGAAGGAGGGTTGTCACAAAAATGATAGGATAACATCTGTAAATATTCAGAAAGCAGAAAAATACGATTTTCAAATCATTTAAGGGATCGCTTATGTTCAGGTCCAATTTTTAAACAAGTAGGCCATAATTAACTTTTAAAGGAAGAATTTTAAGTATATCTCTAATAAATTATCAGTCTTCAAATCACAAAATTGTCATTTTATATGTGCTTATACCAAAGTACAAGGAAAATTAGTAAGAAAATTAGGAATTTTAGCTTTCATATTTATGATAGCCTAACCTTGTGGGATATGAAAAAGTAAATATACATAATTAAGCTGAAATTAAAATATATATTAAACACAATTTCCAGAGACAAATATTTATAATTTAAACCTATTTAAGATTCGCACTATCTTCTGCAGTTGCAAAATACCGTCACAATCATAAAAGAGTAAATTTAACTTTCAAAAATTTTATCTCGTTAAAAATATATATATTTGCTCTTGAAAGAAGTCATAAGTATTTTAACATCAATATTTGTTCAACATATGTTTTACAAAGATATATATAAACATATAATGTTTTCTAAAGATAGAAATGAGGATCACTACATCATCTTAACACTGAAAAGATCTCCAATGAAATATTTATCATGTAGAAACTAGCCTAATTTAAATCATTTTCTTAAAAGGGCATCCTCAAAATAAGAATTATTGTTAAAGAAAAAGTTGCTCTTGCCTTAGATTACTAATGGACAAAATATAGTCTTTTTATGTGTAAGTTTAGACAGTCTTTAATTTTCACAAAATTTCATTTCACTAGAATCTTGTACCTATATAATAACAATAGTGACCAATACTTGTTAGATATTTATTGTATACTGGAAAATAAGTTCCACAAGCTGAAGAGCATGCTGCTATTCTTCTCATGAGCTTCACAAGCGCCCTTTGGCCTAGTTATTCAGTTATTCCCGTGATAACTATCCCCCTGTCAATAAAGAGATCCTTCATTCTTGGAGATGGTAGATAGCTATCCAGATGGATGTAAAACAGTGAGGGAACCGGGATTTTCTGTCTCCAGATGCAGCACATTTCAGTACAAAGCAAGACTTTGTACTAAGAAAGGGTAAATCTGAATTTTTGAAATCAACCAGATATATTATCATTGGTCTGTAGGTTTTTCTGTGGAGAGCTATGTCTGCATATGGGAGGAATGCAGATGAAGTACACAAGGAGTGACTCCTTCAAAACATCAGAATCAGTGACTCAATATATCCTCAAGGGCTAAGACCTAATCTGATATCAACAAAAGCAAGGTTGATATGTGAATGATATGTCTAGATAAGAGAATTTATTCTCCTTCCCTTGAAACAGTTTATCTTCATTATTAAAATGCTGCATCTGATTTTAGAGATATAACAGAAAATCTTTTTAAAATTTATTTTACAAGTGATTTTCCCAAACCCAATTTTTACCTCTACCTGTAGTTGGCGCTTTTGTTCCGTAATCAACTATGTAAGGAATATACCATTATTATGTTGATATTATTAAAGAAGATAATTGCAATTTAATGCTGCTATGTACACAGATTATTAACAAAGAAATGTTAACAATAACTTCGAATTTTTTATTAAATTTCTTGGTACAATTTAGGTATATATAATGATCACATTCATCCTAAGGAATTTGTACCTGTACATAATCTATCTTGATTCCCTTTTATTCCCATTCCCCACCCCTCTTTTCAACCCCTTTCCCTCCTTATTTACAAAGCTTTGTTTCCATTTTATCATTCTTATTTCATTTTTTTCTTTTCTCTTACTTTCTTTTCCCTCCCTTCTTAGTTCCCCTTTCCTTTTGAACAATTGCTTCCTATTTCACAATATCTATTTTACATCTTTTGTCGTTATTTGTGCTTTCAAAATCATTCAGTCATTCTCTTTCTTTATTTTCTGTAACAGCTACACATTTGTTCTGTTGTCCCTATTTATTTTCACCTATACTTCTACTCTTATGTATCTTCCCTCAGCTCACTTCACGAAGTAACACTTAAATCACTTTTATTGCTACCTGCCCCATTAACATTTTCTCTTTATGGGCCAACATTATCCATCCTATTCCCAATCACTCATTTCGTGGATATATCCTGCATATCATTTGGGATTTACTACATCCAAGTCCCATGGATCAGTGATTCCTATTTTCCTCCATATTTTCTCAATCTGAACTAGTCATAAGTAGCATGACTCTGTAAAAATTTCCCCTCATTTAATAAACCCATTCAAATATGAACTAGAAGAATATAAGCATATCTTCTAAAGTGATAATTGAAAAAATACATTCAGCGGTAACTTAAAATGAATTCAGTGTCAAAGAAAAATGCTTGGAGACATCCATTTCCAAGTTTGAGCCTTAAAACTAAAATAGTTTCATATGGAATATTTAAGTAACAACTCCCTTACAGTATTTATGACTGTATTTTCCATTTAACATGGTGATGATCTATAATGGATGTTAATTTCTGGTAAATTGCAGTTTGGAATATGATACCATTGATTATCTTCCTCACAAGGAATCAAGAAATATACTAAGTATGGCTAGTCTTTTGCAATTTTTGAGAAAGTTTTTGAGAGAATTCAAGTAATTAACCTGTCAGTTGCTTAAGATATGATTTGAAAGCTGGTAATAGGTCCCAATAATGACGAGATTGAAATCTGTCAGTTATTAACACTCTTTTTCTGTCTCTTTAGTCACACACATATTTTTGTTAACATTAATTTTAAAGTAATGTTTGATGATTTCTGACCTGAGGATTTAATGGAATTATTTTCTTATTTTTTTCTTAAGACACACTTTTTAATGGTCTTGGGCTTGGAGCAGTCATTGGCCTGGGAGTTGCAGCCCTTTTGCTAATCCTTGTGGTAACAGATGTCAGCTGCTTCTTTATTCGACAATGTGGGTTATTGATGTGCATCACCAGGAGAATGTGTGGGAAAAAGAGTGGTTCCAGTGGAAAAAGTAAAGAACTTGAAGAAGGAAAAGCTGCCTACCTGTGAGTATCAGGTGTCTGCACCATATTACATTAACATATTAATTAAGAGCCACACGTAAACTTACACGCTTTCTTTGGGGTCTTTGTTTTCAAAGCCAGGTAGGCCATTTCACTATAAGACATGAAACACATTACTCCTCTCTGATCTTAAATCTGTATAACTTAGGATGACATCTTACAGAACCAAATGACTTTAAAAATACTGCACTTAAAAACAAACCTCAAGACAGAACTCTCACTGAAAAGAATTACTGTCCTGATTTAAACATGGAAGACAGATGAATGGATGTACAGATAAATCAATAGTTGGACAAACGTTATCTGTTATGATTTCCCAGCATTTTTCAGTTCCTGTTGAATAAAAGGCAACCAAAGTAATCTGAGTTAAATGTTCACTTAAACTGAGCTGATAACAAAATTACGGCACTTCCTGCAATTGAAAAAGTGAATACATAGAGGCCTCAAAACTTTTCTTCTGCATTAATCATGTTATATTAGCTACATGGTATTTTCTTACAGCTTCTGAATTTACATTTGCAAAATTTGAACAAAAGATGACAATCGTAATATATTTGGAGATATTTGTGAAATCTGATTTATTTAAGCACAAATTGAATTCAAAATAATGAATTTCTTCTAACACAATAGATTATTTAGCCTGTTTTCTGTATTGTGTAAGTATATTCCTGATGCATATTTTCCTTACTTTCTTACTCCACTTAATATCTTGCTTGTGAAATACATCCACATTATTTGTATATGTATATATTTATTATAATCTGTGTTTACTACCATATTATGTGATCCTACCAAAAGCTCTTTTTCCATTCCATTATTGATGGGTATTGTAGTAGCTTATAATTTAGAGCTATTAATATTTATGCTGCTATGAATACTCCAGTATATTATTTCTTTTTTGTGTTTAACTAAATGTGGAAATTCTAAGCTATTCTATATAGATATTCAACTTTTTCAGACCCTGCTAATTAATGGTTCAAAATGATTTTACTAACCAAATTACTCTAGAGTTTCATGTGTAAGTAATGGTAGCTCATAATGATTTAAAATGATGAAAAGTAAATACTAGGAAAGTTGAATCTTTTCTCATACTTTTAGAATATTTGATATGTTCTTTTAATCTCCCATTCAAACATTTTAATCATTTTCTAATGGGTTATCTCTTTTCTTACTAGTGTGTGTGTGTGTGTGTGTTCTTTTATGCAATAAACTTTGAATAGACAGAAAAATATATATCTATATGTTATATATTCTAATATATTATACATACTATGAACTAGTATCTATACTAACATTTAAATAATATGTAAATATTCTTATGATAAATATAAGTACATATTCTCTTTTATAATTCTGTGACTGCTTTTAACTGTTAAAATATTTTCTCCACTGAACAGAAGTGCTTGATTGTATTGTAGTATGCTATTCTATTTTCCTAATTTTTCTCCTATTTTTAAAGTCTTGGCTTATACAAAGCCACTAATACATTCTTTCTATGTCCAATAAAACCTTTAAAATTTTCTATTTAGAGATATACAGGCTACTTGAAGAATCCAGAGACTTTTAAATTAGCTTTTCTAAAAGTTACATTTACACAATCCCCCCAGTGACTGAAAGACATGCATTGCTCACTAGTGGAACATATGTGATCCCATATGATCACATAGGAATGGGCATATTTCGAGAATTGCTACTCTTTCAGTTTGCACAACAAATATCAGCCTTTGTTAGTCATTACATCTTTATAATAGTTCTCGTGACCTTATTTAAGTCCTCCAGCTCCATTTTCTTTCAAGGTTGCTTTGCTATTCTTGATTTCTGAATTTCCATTTTATCTGATCTGCAGTTTCTTTGTGCATGCGCGCATGTGCGTGCACACACACACACATCCACACACACACACACACAAACATGCTAAGGTTTTGATTAGAATTGTATTGACTCTATAGATGCATTGGAATTATCTTTGCAATAGACTATATTTTAACCTATAAATCAATCTTTATGTGTCTTTTATTTTAAATAAGCAGAACATGACTATCTCGAAGCATAACAAAAAATAAAACAACAAAGTAAACAGGAAACACAAAGTATTTCACAATGGCAATGTATGATAAAAATCTTACATACTGAATCAGCCATCTCTTACAAATTGGTAGCAGACTGTACTATAAGGGAAAGTGAAAGAAACATAAAAATCAAGTTAACACAAATAGGAAAAAGATGAGATGGCTCAACAGTATGCTATATAAGGATAAGAAATATTAATATTTATATTGCCATTGATGGTTATTGCTGCACAGAAAAGTTGGACTGAAACCTACTTTTTGGAAAGAACTAAAAAAGTCCTTGCAAGGAATATGTACTAGTTATAAGAATAACTGATATTTTTTGTTGGTTGTGATGATAGACTAATTTGTAGGGGCTAGAATAGTGGCCCCATTACTACAGAAAGAAATTCAGTCATAAAGGTACAAGATCCCAATAATGAATGTAACTGTACTGTATACCTAAAATGTACCCATAAACTCAATTTTTAAAATTTTTTTAAAAAAAAAGAAAATTGAGTGTGGTGGACTTAAAAGGACTTCATCTCAGTGCTTCCATAAGTAGGCAGTGCATGTGTTTATTATGACTTTTCACAGGATACATTTGAAATTGAGTTAAACTCTCTAAAGAATTCAAGGACATTGGGGGCCGGTGATTTAGTTCAGTGGTTCTGCTGCCTGCCTCACAAGCACAAAGTCCTGAGTTCAATCCCCGGTATTAAAAAAAAAAAAAAAAAAAAAATTTAAGGACATGGAAGTTTTTAAAACTATTTCTTACTTAAAGGGAATTTTTCCATCTAATTTTAATCTTCTGTGTCACTTGCCATTAATGGTTTTGTCACCGAGCTTTTGACATTTTTTTCATAAGTAGAATGATACAAATTTATTTTATTTTACTTTTATTTTGGTTATTTTAGACAGTCTCACTACATAGTTGATGCTGGCCTTGAACTCACTATGTAGCCCAGCTGGTCACAAATTTGAAGTGATCCTCTTGCCTCAGCCTCCAGAAAGCTGGGATTATGGGTGTGGACCACCACACCTGGCCTTACAAATTTATATTAATATATTAACTGTAAATTTTCTATTTAGTAAATATGCTTATGTAAATTTCAATTTTTCAACTGCATTGGAATTATTTCTGTGGACTACAATCACCTTTGCAAACTGTATGCAAAAATCTATATTTGAGTAAATTTCCTCTTAATTGGAGTAAGTGCTTCAGTATTGAAATCGAACTTCCTCATTTCCTAAAACTGTGTGACCATTAGATAATAATATATACTTAATAATGGATAATGTAATGACTGTCTTTTCTTTGTTAAGGTTAATCTTTCTAATCTTTACATAGCGTACTTTGTCTGCTTTTTAAAGGAAAATCTAGGTTTCTTTTGCAGTTAATTTAAAAGCAGTTCATTATTTCATGCTGCTGCATGAGTCCAGGAAGATGGCACCTTGCACAGATCCAAACATAGCAGTTCCTGTGGATAACATTGCCATTGGTGATCATGAGTTAATAATCCTAGTTGAATATTTGTCTGTCTGTGAAGGATATTTTTACCTTTGAGTTATTAAATCATATAATATAAATTTTAGGGTAAAATTAGTTTCTGTTATCAAATTATTAACATTTTTGTTGAGCATAGAACAAAAAAGAATAGAAAGTTGTCTCCACTTCCCATTTTAGGGAGATATTAATGCGAGATATAATAATTGAATTGAATCAGCTCACTAATGTCTTTGCTTTCTTCATCTTAACGTTGCCTAACTCACAGTAAAATTGTATATTACATACATTGTCTCGTTAACTAAACAGATTACCAGCTTAGTTTTGTTTTAAAGAAACAGAGGTACATGATAAAACATTAAGAAGCAACATTATAATAACAGGTGGATGTATATAATTTACATTGTAGAAAATATGCATACTTGTCTAAGTACATGTTTCTAAAGTTTGAATTTATATTTTTTCTCTTAATCATCTGCTGAGCAAATATTGATAAAATAAATGTCAAGCAATAAGCACTGGTGTAGAATTTGAAAAGTTAGTGTAGAAAGTAAACTTTTAAACAAGTTACATCTCATTTATAGCTCACATTATACTATAAAAGTTTATTAGACAAACATACTGAAATTGAAAAGGTCCTGTATTGACAAATGCTAAAACTACAAAGCAGAATAAGAAGATGTTATTCAGTGTCATATCATTAAATATCTTTTGTGAGAGGTTAAATTTAAGCTGAAAGGTATGTGATATTGAATCAGCAATGTAAGCACTAGGTGAGAAAACCTTCTACCAGGTGTGCTACAGCTAATACAAAGGCCTCACGGCACCTTGAAAGGCTTGCTGAGTTCAAGGACAAATGTACACGAATGATGTGAAGCAGAAAGAAAGTGAATTATGATCCCAGATGGGGAATTGTCTAAAGACTGACATATTGTTTTCTTTGGTTAAAGTATCTGAATTTTATTGTAAATGGAAAGCTTCTAGGAGAATTTTATGAATATTAATCTAGGTATTGTATTAAGGATGGATCTTTGTATGTTTAGTGATTTTTTTATTATTGAGTTTATTGGTGCTTTTTAGGTATACAGTACAGTTACATTCATCATTGGGATCTTGTACCTTTACATGACAGGTCTTGGTTCTCATTTTTCCCCTACTCCTGCCCTCCCTTCCTCCATAAAGAATGAGAAACTGGAGTCATTCATAGGAAAATGGTTGAATATTAAGGCCAAACTCTTAAGTGAAATAAATAATACACACGTGTATTATTTAATTATTTATTATTATGTAAATACCAAATAGTTTCTCTGTTGTGAAAAACTAAATGTGTAAATAAGATCCAAATGGTATAACTGACAATGTGAAATAGAAAGAAAAGGGCTAAAGGTGTAGGGAAGTGGGAAGGGTAGGGGAAAGGAAATAAGGGA